CGACGTGCGACACCTGTGCACGCTCGAAAGCTCCGCGACACAAGCCGTTTGGGTTCCTGTTGCCACTCCAGACAGCCGATCGACCCTGGGGGACACTGACCATGGACTTTATCACTGATCTGCCAAAGTCCAAGGGTCACACCTGCATCTTTGTGGTGGTATGCAGCCTCACAAAGATGGCACACTTTATGTCCTGGCGTTCACTGCCGTCGGCGGAGGAGACTGCGTCACTGTTCCTCGACAATGTCTTTCGTCTCCATGGCCTCCCCGACACAGTGGTTTCAGACCGAGGAAGTCAGTTCACCTCTCGGTTCTGGAAGGCACTCTGCACGCAGCTCGGGATCCAAACCAGTCTGTCCACGGCCTTCCATCCCCAGACCGATGGACAGACTGAGAGGGTCAACCAGGTCATCAACCAATACCTGCGCTGTTACACGTCGTATCAGCAAGATGACTGGGCCGAGCTGCTGCCGTTGGCCGAGTTCTCTTACAATAACCTCGAGAACTCGTCAACACATGCCTCGCCATTCTTGGCAACCTATGGGTTCCACCCAAGGTTCGAAGTCCCCGTTGTCGCTGGCGGCCCTGATGTTCCCTCTGCCACGGAGAGGGTTGAACATCTCCAGCGGAACCTGGCACTGTTGAAGGAGAATCTTGAGAAGGCAAAGTCTGACTACAAGCACTTCTCAGATCTCCGGAGGTCCCAGGCTCCCGACTTGCGTCCGGGCGATCAAGTCTGGGTGCTGACTCGTAACATCAGCACCACTCGCCCAAGCAAGAAGCTGGATTACCAGAGGATTGGACCATTCACCATCCTCGAGGCCGTCGGGACATTGGCTTTCCGCCTGGACTTGCCAAAGGACATAAAGGTGCACCCGGTGTTCCATGTGTCTCTTCTTGAGCCCTACAAGAAGAACTCGCTTCCGGGTCGGGTGCAAGCGCCGCCCCCTGCGGTGGTCATCGATGGGAACTTGGAGTGGGAGGTCGAAGAGATCTTAGACTCCAAGTTCGTGCGCGGAAAGCTGCACTATCTCATCGATTGGAAAGGCTACCCGGTCACCGATCGAAGTTGGGAGCCCGCCGACATTGTCTTTGCCCCAACGGTGGCCGCGGAGTACCACCGACGCTACCCAGACAAGCCTGGCCCCAGGAGAACTCAAGATGGAACACGCCGTAGTTTAAGGAGGAGATAGTGTGATGACCAGCATCACAACGGACCAATGAGATTGTCCCGCATGCTCTCGCCCTCCGCACCAATCATGAGTCCCCACGTGTTTGTTTGCCCCCATGCATGAGCACGCGCCGTTGCCACCCGCGTCTACTGGTTTCCTGCCTCCCCCACCGCTCGGCACATGTCCCCGGGCTGTGCCAAGCCTCTCTCGCTTGCACACCAGCCACTCTCGCACCCCCTTCTCGCTTCTCTGTGATGCTCCACCCTTCTCGCCCACTTTTGCCCCTCGACCTTCTCCCGGTCTATAAATAGCCCTGCATGTCTGAGCCTATGTTGAACACCAGTTCGAACAAAACTTGTTCTTTGGTGTTCGGGGCTAAAAGCTAATAAAGCTCATACCAAGCACTTGGTCTTCGTCCTTGCGCTTGTTCACTCCTTACACTTCTGCAGCGCGTAGATGATCGCAAGCTGCTCCTTCTCGTGCACGGGATAGTTGATCTCGTGTTGGGACAGTTTGCGCGACTCGAAGGCAACGGGCCTTCCCTCCTGCATCAAAACAGCTCCCACCGCAAAGTCGGAGGCGTCGGTGTGCACGGAGACATCCGTGTTCGGGTCGAACACAGCGAGGACAGGAGCGTTCGTCAAGGCGTGCTTGAGGGTCTCGAACGCTTGGCGTTGTGGGTGGTCCCACACGAAGGGGCACTCTTTGCGGAGTAGGTCTGTGAGTGGACCGGCAGTGCGCGCCAGATCGGGGATGAATCGGCGGTAGTAGTTGACGAGACCGAGAAACGACTGCACGTCAGAGACGCATGCGAGCGGCGGCCACTCGACCACAGACTTGACCTTGGCGGGGTCGACTTCGATTCCTCTTCCTGAGACAACGTGTCCCAGGAACGGGACTTGATTCTTGAAGAACTCACACTTGGACAGTTTGGCATACAACTTGTGCTCGCGTAGCTTGGCCAGCACGCGGGCGACATGACCTTCATGGGTCGCTTCATCCTTGCTGTACACAAGGATATCATCCAGGTACACGATGACAGAGTTGTCGAGCTCTTGGCGGAACACATCGTTCATCAGCTGCATGAACGTGGCAGGTGCGTTCGTCAATCCGAACGGCAGCACTAGGAACTCGTACAGTCCGTAGCGAGTCCTGAAGGCGGTCTTGTGGACATCATCCTCGTGGATGCGGATCTGATGGTAGCCTGAGCGGAGGTCTATCTTGCTAAAGACCTTTGCTCCACTCAGACGATCCATCAACTCGTCGATCCTGGGCAACGGGTAGGTGTTCTTGATGGTCTGTTTGTTTAGTGCGCGATAGTCGACGCACATCCTGAGATCACCTTCTTTCTTCTTGACAAAGAGCACTGGTGCACCATACGGTGACTGGCTCGGGCGGATGAACCCATGGGCGAGGAGGTCATCCAACTGGCGCTTGAGTTCGTCCATCTCCGTCAGCGACAGTTGGTACGTCGGTCTTGACGGAGGCGACGAGCCTGGTTCGATGTCGATGCGATGATCGACGGTGCGTTGGGGTGGCAGGCATTGTGGCAACTGGTCGGGGAATACGTCCTTGTACTCGTCGAGCAGCTTGGTCACCACAGGCGGGGGACCGGGACCGGCTTGGTCGGTGTCGTCGACCTCACGCACGACACAGAGGAACGACGTGTCCTTCTTGATCAGCCTCTTGAATTGCATGGCTGAGAGGAGAGGTGGCATGTTGGGTGAGGCCATGCCCTGCAGGACAATGTCAGGGCCAACACGGACAGTGCGGCCTTTCCAGTCGACGACTGGAGTCGGCTCGGCACGAGCAAGCCAGCTCATGCCGAGGATGGCATCGAACTTGGTGTCGATCACTTGGAACAACAGGACAGGATGGTACTTGGGATGGAGGGCCACTCGCAGGACCACTTGGTGTGTGCACTGCTGCACACGATCGTCTGCAAGCGCCACACTCATCGGCGACTTCTTCTTGGTTGCATGTATGTTGAGCTCCTGGAGCAAGCGTCTGCTGACAAAGTTGCAGCTTGCTCCAGAGTCCACCATCATTCGGACGGTGTGACCTTGGACGGTGGCAGGGAGGTACAGCAGGGACTCTTCATGGTCCTCCTGCACAGCCTCCTGCACCATGACTTGACTTGGGGGAACGGGCGACACTTGGTCTTGGTTGGCTTCATCACGGCCACTCGGACATTTTGGATAGGGTTCGGCCATTGCGGGGGCCTGCGGCGTCAGCACGCCATTGCACACGACGTCCACGGCTTGCGGACACATGTCGGAAGCATCCGACACACACGACTTGACAGGGGTGAGGGCACAGGCGGTCCTGTCCCTCAAGGGTTCTTGATTTTCTTTTTTGTTTTGGTTTTCAATTTTGGTTTTCTCTTCACGTTCGTGGAGAGGCAGGCGGCTTGCGCCACCATGCACCTCTCGCACGACGCACAACACTTGGTTTGTTTCTCCTTCGGGGGAGGGGGCGAGGTGAACTTCCTCTGGAGACGCGTGGACTGCATTGAGCAATCCACGGCGTTGGTCTCCTACTAGGGCTCCAGAGCCACCTAGTAGGGTCGGCCGTTTCCCGACTTCATGGGGCACTCCTTGGCCTGGTGTCCCGGTCGGTGACAGAAGAAGCAGGAACCATGGCGGAGGTCCTCCTGCTTCTGTCTGTCCTTGGGGGAGACAGTGGCAGCTTGCTGGAACCGGGAGCGGGGAGGGCCACGAGCCTCCATGGCGTTGACGTCAACGTCCATGGGCTCAGGCATGGGTCTTGCGGGCGGGGCCGGGCGAGGCGGACGGGCTGGGACGTGATGAGACCGATGGCCGCCTGCCAGCTGCGGGTAGAACTGGCGGCCATGGTACTGGACGTTGTCGAGGTTCTCGGCAACGTCCATCATCACGTCCAGGGACTTGCGGGCATCAGGGTTGCTGGCGATGTACTCTCTGATCTTGGGCTTGAGGCCCTTCTGGAAGAGGTACATCGCATCAGCAGAGCCCAGCTCCTCAATCTGGGAGGAGAGGTCTTCAAACTCCTCGATGTAGCGGGTCACAGAACCACGCTGCACGAGAGAGTATAGCTTGTCACGGGCAATGAGTTCAGCATTGGGGCTGCCGAAGCGGCGACGGAGGCGGTCCTTGAAGTCGTCAAACACACCTTCGCTCTGCTCGTCGAACCCTTGGCGGCGGTACCAACGGTACGCCTGGTCCTTTAAGCAGAGCTTGGCGGCGACGATGTGGTGGGTGGGGGCGACTTGGGCAGCATCGAGGTAGTCCTCGAGTTGCTGCAGCCAGTCCTCCACCGAGGAGGAGCGGCTCTTCCCAGTAAACACTGGGGCACGGAAGGTCTTGAGGAAGGCTTCCGGAAGTGGGCGGGGGTTGCTCATGGCAGGGGCAGGCTCCAGGGACAGAGAGGAGAGTCGGTCGGCAAGAGAGGCGGGATCCAGCTTGAGGATCTAGAAAGAGGACAAACAGGACGAAAACAAGACGAGGATTTCCGATGCTACCATGTAACGTCCACTACTGGGACGTTGGGGCAAGACGGGGAGGGAGGGGGTACAAGACAAGACAGGACGGGGCAGAACAGGGCGGTGCTAGGCTACTCTAGCGGACGGGTGAGCTCGGGGAGCACTTACGTTTATTCACGATAAAACCGAACTCCAGACAAACGGGGGGAACGGGGGCAACCCGCAGGTATACCCTGCGGTGGCCTGCCTGCGGTGCGTGAAAACGCAAAGCGCAGCACAGGTCACGACCCACTGCGCCGCGCAGTACGCGCAGTACGCGCAGCACAGCGTCGGAGATACCATCTCCTACAGGTTATGTCGATGCCGTGGCGAGGGGCCTGAATGTCAAGCAATCGGTCTCTGTCGCTGCCGACTCGAACGTTGACCTCACCAGCCCCGTATCGGTCATCGATGGAGTGACACTGCAGTCTGGCGACCGGGTGTTGCTGATGGGCCAGACGCTTCCTGTGCAAAACGGCATCTTTGCCCTCGGGACCGGCGGATTCCTGGCGAGAACGCTGGATTGCCCACCGGGCACATCTGCCATCGGCATTTTTGTGTTTGTCGACCAGGGCACATATGCCGAAGTCGGCTTCATTGCCTACTCGAGCACCGACCCATGTATCGTCGGCACCGACCCGGTCGAGTTCAGCAAGTTCTCGGGCACCATCTTCCTTGCGGGTATGGGCCTGGAGAAGGACGGCATCACCTTCAATGTCAATCTCGGTGCCGACTCTGGCCTCTCGCTCACTGGAGGCACTCTCCAGATCGACCCGTCCATTGCTGGGTCGGGCATTACCTTCAGTGGCGGCGTGCTCTCATCGACGACAGCGGTGAGCGTCGGGACCCTCACGACCGGCGTGTGGAATGCAAGCACCGTTGGGGTCGCTTGGGGAGGGACGGGTATCACCCAGGTCAATCCAAAAAGTCTGGTCTATGGGTCGTCGTCCTCGAGCACAGGCCCACTCGAAAACTCGCCGAATCTCACATACGATTCAAGCATCCAGACCCTCTTTCTCTCCGGGCTGCCCATCGTGCCCAATACAGGCGCAACGGCGCTCGTGGTCAACTCGTCGTTGTCGGTGTTCTCGGACCACATCGAGCTCATGAACCCGCTCTCCATCAGCCAGGGAGGAACCGGGTCGAGGGCGGCGGCATTCACGAGCAACGGTATGGTCTATGTGTCCAGCGGCGGCGGTGCGCTTGTGTCGACTCCAGGGTATACGGCCGGGTCTGTGGTCATTGCCGATTCCAATGGTGTGCCTCGGCCGATTGCGGGTGCTCAGCTGCGGGCTGAACTCGGGCTGGCAATCGAGACCGATGTGCAGGCCTATTCGAGTGTGCTCGACTTGCTCACAGCGACAGGCACCCCGAATGCCCAGGACATGATCGTGGCTACGGCGAATGGTGTCTATGCCCGGCAGACACCAAGCCAGGTGCGAGCCAACTTATCGCTCGGCACCATTGCGCTGCAAAACACCGTTGGGGACTCAAACTGGGCTGGAGGGCCGCTGTCGATCGGCAATGGAGGAACGGGCAGGACCAACTTTACAGATACAGACGGCAGTGTCCTATGCACTGTGGGTGGAGCGCTGGTCACCCAGAACCTGCTCACAGTGGGGTCGTCGCTGGCGGTTCTTGGGGTGCCGTTGCAGGTGGGGTCGGTCGTTGCGCCGTCTGGCAGCTATCTCGGACTCAATGGATATGCACAGATCTACACCGATCACGCTGTGATTCCGCATCTCCAGTCGACACTCGTCGAGTCCCAGTCGCTCTCTGTGTCTGCGGCGACGGCAGATACCCTGGTGCTGTCGACATCGCTGCAGTGCCCTGTCGGAAGCATCACGACGCTCACATCCAACACGTTGAATGCACCGACCATCTACACCAGCTCGCTCATGGGCAGCAGCATCTCGTTTCAGAGCACGCTGACGGGGCCGACGGTGACGCTGTCGTCTTCCCTCACGGCTCCGGCGGTGGCCACGGATGCCATCAACACAGCGACGTCCGGCGGCACCCTCATGCTCCAGAGCGGTGTCATCGAGGCTACAAACTCGGCTGTGACGATCCAGGCTCCAGCGACGTTTAACCAGGATGTGTCGTATGCGAAGAGCGCTACGATCGACGGGGATGTCACGATCAACGGCAATCTGGCTCTGAACGGCGGGTTGGCATGGAATGGGACGGTGATCATAGAGCCTACGGTCGGCGTGGCCAGTATATTCAATGCGACCTCGGTGGTGGTGTCGAACTCCAAGGTGATCAATACCCTCAACGAGGTGCTGCTGAGCGTCGTGTTCCAGGTGACCCCGAGTGCGGCCAATATCCAGTGCACGTTCATGTTCTCGCTGCCGGGCATGACGAGCCCCCTCACCAACGCATTCGATGTGATCGCATGCGCGAGTGGATGGACGGACACGTATGTCATCCTGCAGAACCTGCTGGTCTGTGGAGTGGCCAGCAGCGACTCGTGCTTGCTGCAGTTCCAGGCGGCCGGGACTGATGTGCACTACATCCAGGTCATGGTGCGGTATACCGCTCCTCAATAGGGGATGATGTGAGGGATAGCTCCTGCGTGTTCTCCACTTTGACTGCACACTTGACTGATCAGTTGTTGCTGGGGTGAGTGGATGGTGGGGTGTCGAAAGAGGGAGCGCGTTTTGGATCAGAAGAAGGGATCCTGACTAGGGCAAGGGTTGGGCCGGCGCTCCCCAATCCACAGTTGATCCGTGGTTTGCGGCGAGCTGGTTAATGATGTTTTGATAAACATGAATTTCAGATTCGAATCTGTTAACAGTGAGATAATGAAGTATCGCGAGCTGTGAATGAGTGAAAAATTGAAAAAATGGTTGACGATTCCGGATACTCTCGTATAGTGTACTATTGAATGTGGATTCACTGCAATTGACATGGTTTTTTATAGCAAATTGAAGTTCTGAATCATAGAATCCAATTAGAATTTCCAATATCATCGAAGCAACCGCTTCAATATTTTTATCGATTCCTATTTCTTGAGAATTTTTTGTATCCATCCTTTCAATACTCATTCTCTTAAATTCGTAAATTATTTTTCGTAAGTCAATTAATTCGACCCCAATATGGTCCGGATACATATCCGGCAAAATTATTGATGCAAAAAAAACATTGTGATTTGAAATAAAGAAATCTTTGGTCGAAAGCACAATGCTTAGAGACGGGAGTAAATCCCTGGTTATCCGGGTTTTCAAGTATTCCACGTCTTGAGTGAGCGCAGCAATCGTTCCTCTCTGTTCGTTCGCGATCCTAACCAGCTCAGCATCAGCACCCGTGAAAGAATGTGTAGCTTGGTCGTATCCAGCACCACTCTGATTGTCTTCGGGCAGACCATCTCCACCAACTGATTCACGCTCTTTACCATCATTGTCGGGTAAGTCTTCCCTATCGGCAATGATACCGACTACCACTTCCACGCAATCAGCTTTGGAGTCGTCCGCATCGGGTTGGGTTTCGGTTACCCCCGTTGATTCTGACCGTTTGTTGTAGCGCCGCTTGGTAATGAGGTCACTCAGATTCTCGCGTCTGCGCTTGGATGTGCGGGTCGAGTATCGCGAGTTCTCACCGGGTTGCGTGATTCGGAAGTCATAGGGAGCCTTGGCCGGGGGAGCCGGTGATCCCACGTATCTGTCTGCTTCTCCCAGAGCCTTGAAGTTGATGGGATCGGGACCGACTTGTTCAGTTTCGTTCGAGTAGCTGTCCATAGCTGTGTCTGTGGGCCACTTTTCTATCGCCGATGAAAAAAAATTACTCCAAATCTCGCTACCATTTGGGCGTCATTTGAAATGGCGCCCTGTGAGATGGCTGCGTTCATCGACGCCTGATGCAGTGGCTCCCAGGTGCAATCCATCACCGTGTAGCCACGCCAGTGCACAAGATACTAGAGCATGCCTCTGGACAGCCTGGAGTCAGTGATCTGTTCGACTTCCCATTCGTCGTGGCCGTCGACTTGGATGGGTGGAGGGGCGGGATGGTTCGACCTGGGATCTTGTCGTCGGCGGCTGGCTCGAGCAGGGAGACGTGGAAGACGGGGTGAATGCACATGGACGAGGGCAAGTCCAACTTGAGCGACAATTTGAACGACCCAAGCTTGGTGTGGTCGAGCTTGGCCGTGGGTCGCTGGGTCTTGATGTTCCTGGCGGAGAGCCAAACTCGGTCTCCAACCTTGAACGGAGGGGAATGGGATTGGCCGGGGTCGTAGTACTTGGTCTGGGAGTCCTGGGCGAGGGCGATGTTGAACTTGTGTTCATCGTGGAGGGAATGGATGATCCGGGCTTGATCATCGGCGACAGAGGCATTCCTGGTGGTGCGGGGAAGGGCGACAGATGGAACGCGGTCGACAAGAGCGAAAAGGAAAGACCTTCAGACTCTAGCAAGCCATCGTGGCGTCAGTGACCTGCGCCTCCGTAGTTGCTTGTTGATGAGCGATAAACTTCCAGACCCGGTTAAGGAACTCGTACACATGAGTCGGGAGCTGTGAGCGTTTCACTGGTATGTCCGTTCCGAAGGGGGATTGGTGAAGGATCTGGATGATCTGACTCACGACAAAGTCGCTTGTGTCGAGGGCCCCCTTCCAGTGGGCGGAGGCGATGAAGTCGGAGACACTCTTTGTTTTGCCAATCTTGTGAGACCACTCGATGAAGGTTTTGACGACCGTGTAGAAGCGTGTGTTTTCCACTCGGGGCATGATCTGCCCAACAAAGTTCTCGGGGTTATAGTGCTCGAGGGTGGCGGCGAACTGCTCAAGGGTGACTGGTGAGTCGGGTTCGTCGTGGTAGAGGCGACAGTAGGTGGATACCTCGTCGTGGGAAAGCAACTCGCGCTCGATGGACTCAAGGAGCTCCACCGTGTGTAGGAGATGGTATCTCCGACGCTGTGCTGCGCGTACTGCGCGTACTGCGCGGCGCAGTGGGTCGTGACCTGTGCTGCGCTTTGCGTTTTCACGCACCGCAGGCAGGCCACCGCAGGGTATACCTGCGGGTTGCCCCCGTTCCCCCCGTTTGTCTGGAGTTCGGTTTTATCGTGAATAAACGTAAGTGCTCCCCGAGCTCACCCGTCCGCTAGAGTAGCCTAGCACCGCCCTGTTCTGCCCCGTCCTGTCTTGTCTTGTACCCCCTCCCTCCCCGTCTTGCCCCAACGTCCCAGTAGTGGACGTTACATGGTAGCATCGGAAATCCTCGTCTTGTTTTCGTCCTGTTTGTCCTCTTTCTAGATCCTCAAGCTGGATCCCGCCTCTCTTGCCGACCGACTCTCCTCTCTGTCCCTGGAGCCTGCCCCTGCCATGAGCAACCCCCGCCCACTTCCGGAAGCCTTCCTCAAGACCTTCCGTGCCCCAGTGTTTACTGGGAAGAGCCGCTCCTCCTCGGTGGAGGACTGGCTGCAGCAACTCGAGGACTACCTCGATGCTGCCCAAGTCGCCCCCACCCACCACATCGTCGCCGCCAAGCTCTGCTTAAAGGACCAGGCGTACCGTTGGTACCGCCGCCAAGGGTTCGACGAGCAGAGCGAAGGTGTGTTTGACGACTTCAAGGACCGCCTCCGTCGCCGCTTCGGCAGCCCCAATGCTGAACTCATTGCCCGTGACAAGCTATACTCTCTCGTGCAGCGTGGTTCTGTGACCCGCTACATCGAGGAGTTTGAAGACCTCTCCTCCCAGATTGAGGAGCTGGGCTCTGCTGATGCGATGTACCTCTTCCAGAAGGGCCTCAAGCCCAAGATCAGAGAGTACATCGCCAGCAACCCTGATGCCCGCAAGTCCCTGGACGTGATGATGGACGTTGCCGAGAACCTCGACAACGTCCAGTACCATGGCCGCCAGTTCTACCCGCAGCTGGCAGGCGGCCATCGGTCTCATCACGTCCCAGCCCGTCCGCCTCGCCCGGCCCCGCCCGCAAGACCCATGCCTGAGCCCATGGACGTTGACGTCAACGCCATGGAGGCTCGTGGCCCTCCCCGCTCCCGGTTCCAGCAAGCTGCCACTGTCTCCCCCAAGGACAGACAGAAGCAGGAGGACCTCCGCCATGGTTCCTGCTTCTTCTGTCACCGACCGGGACACCAGGCCAAGGAGTGCCCCATGAAGTCGGGAAACGGCCGACCCTACTAGGTGGCTCTGGAGCCCTAGTAGGAGACCAACGCCGTGGATTGCTCAATGCAGTCCACGCGTCTCCAGAGGAAGTTCACCTCGCCCCCTCCCCCGAAGGAGAAACAAACCAAGTGTTGTGCGTCGTGCGAGAGGTGCATGGTGGCGCAAGCCGCCTGCCTCTCCACGAACGTGAAGAGAAAACCAAAATTGAAAACCAAAACAAAAAAGAAAATCAAGAACCCTTGAGGGACAGGACCGCCTGTGCCCTCACCCCTGTCAAGTCGTGTGTGTCGGATGCTTCCGACATGTGTCCGCAAGCCGTGGACGTCGTGTGCAATGGCGTGCTGACGCCGCAGGCCCCCGCAATGGCCGAACCCTATCCAAAATGTCCGAGTGGCCGTGATGAAGCCAACCAAGACCAAGTGTCGCCCGTTCCCCCAAGTCAAGTCATGGTGCAGGAGGCTGTGCAGGAGGACCATGAAGAGTCCCTGCTGTACCTCCCTGCCACCGTCCAAGGTCACACCGTCCGAATGATGGTGGACTCTGGAGCAAGCTGCAACTTTGTCAGCAGACGCTTGCTCCAGGAGCTCAACATACATGCAACCAAGAAGAAGTCGCCGATGAGTGTGGCGCTTGCAGACGATCGTGTGCAGCAGTGCACACACCAAGTGGTCCTGCGAGTGGCCCTCCATCCCAAGTACCATCCTGTCCTGTTGTTCCAAGTGATCGACACCAAGTTCGATGCCATCCTCGGCATGAGCTGGCTTGCTCGTGCCGAGCCGACTCCAGTCGTCGACTGGAAAGGCCGCACTGTCCGTGTTGGCCCTGACATTGTCCTGCAGGGCATGGCCTCACCCAACATGCCACCTCTCCTCTCAGCCATGCAATTCAAGAGGCTGATCAAGAAGGACACGTCGTTCCTCTGTGTCGTGCGTGAGGTCGACGACACCGACCAAGCCGGTCCCGGTCCCCCGCCTGTGGTGACCAAGCTGCTCGACGAGTACAAGGACGTATTCCCCGACCAGTTGCCACAATGCCTGCCACCCCAACGCACCGTCGATCATCGCATCGACATCGAACCAGGCTCGTCGCCTCCGTCAAGACCGACGTACCAACTGTCGCTGACGGAGATGGACGAACTCAAGCGCCAGTTGGATGACCTCCTCGCCCATGGGTTCATCCGCCCGAGCCAGTCACCGTATGGTGCACCAGTGCTCTTTGTCAAGAAGAAAGAAGGTGATCTCAGGATGTGCGTCGACTATCGCGCACTAAACAAACAGACCATCAAGAACACCTACCCGTTGCCCAGGATCGACGAGTTGATGGATCGTCTGAGTGGAGCAAAGGTCTTTAGCAAGATAGACCTCCGCTCAGGCTACCATCAGATCCGCATCCACGAGGATGATGTCCACAAGACCGCCTTCAGGACTCGCTACGGACTGTACGAGTTCCTAGTGCTGCCGTTCGGATTGACGAACGCACCTGCCACGTTCATGCAGCTGATGAACGATGTGTTCCGCCAAGAGCTCGACAACTCTGTCATCGTGTACCTGGATGATATCCTTGTGTACAGCAAGGATGAAGCGACCC